GAGAAGAGAAGAGAAGAGAAGGAGAAAAGAAGCTGAAGAGCTTGACCAAGGCACAAGGCAAGCCAGTGCTGTTTGGAATGAAGCCTGACAGTTCTGCTGTCTCCTGGTTCATGTACCTGATATCTGGATAATCCTGACACAGCTCCTTGATGTGCTCCTTGATCTTGTCTTTCTTCTTCTCCCCAATGATATTGGCAATGTGCAGTATGGCAGGACAGAGCCATTCAGAGTCAGAGCCCTGTGAGCAAGGAGGCATATGGAGTTGTCAGGGAGGAGCAGGGCACCTGCAAAATGCCTTTTTACCTGCAGAACAGAGCATGGCAGCGGGTTTCTTTATCTCATGTAAGACAGTACCGCTGCAGGCAGAACAAGCTGGTCTTGAGCGAGCAGTGGGGTTCTGCCCAAGGCAGCACAGGGTGGCAATGGCAATGGACCTCCAGGAACTCCCCTGGGGCCCAACCTGGCACACCCTGATGCTCACAAGGACCCCAGTGAAGCCAGATCCTGCACAGAGTGTTGTGGCTCTCGTCTGGCACAGCAGTGGATTGTGGAGACAAGACTTTACCTCCTTCTGCCTAATGTGCCACACCTCTGAGGTTGATCTGCCTCAATGGGATTTATTGCCCCAGAGACCCAACTTTCTGTAAAATCCAATGGATTCAACTTTGGCTTCCCTGAAAACCCCAGACTGATGTTACCTAGACATAAAACACACAAACAGCCACAATTTTCTCCCCATCATCCTCTATGCAGACGGCATGCCTGGATGGTCCTTCTCAATGGACTCATCTCTGTGAGTTGTACCCAGTGCAGGGATCCTTTGGAGACAAGGTGCATCTCATGGTCCAAGGGAAGAGACCCAGGAAGAAACTGCAACAGCATGAGTGTGATCCCAGAGCACACAAAAGACCTCATGCAAAGCACCTGTGCACCTGGGAGTGTGATAAAACACCAGGCACTGCGATCAGGGAGCCCACAGCTGAGCATACACAAGCCACTGCTGCAGAGTAGCCATTGAACTGAAGTCCACACCATGAACCTGCAGTGACCACCTCACTGCTCTCTTTTAAGCACTGCTACATTTCTTGAGGCTTGACTCCTCAAGAACCTGCTGCCTCAGTCCACAGGAAGCCAAGAGAGAGTACTGCGCCTCTGGGAACGGGGCAGCCAGGGGATGCCGGGAGGGAACTCACGTACCTGATCAATGAGCATGTTATTAAGGATTTGGGCTTCCCGGTTCATCTTTTCACTCACTTGCTGCCGTGTCTCCCTTTTCATTATCCTTCTGGATTTCATGACCTGCGTGATGTATTCCCTCACCACGTACTTATGAACATCACGCAGAAGCTCCTGGTTAAGAAAAAGCAAACCTCATGGTTTTTCTATTGTTCTCATGCAAGACTGTGGTAGTGAAAGAGAGCAAGGGAAGCCCTCGTTTGAGGGCGTAGAGGAGATACCCAAATGCAGCCCACCGGCAGCACATGCTGCCCAGCTCAGTCCTGCCGCAGGGAGCCGGCACCTCGCAGCCTCTCGCTCTGGCACAGAGTGAGAGCAGTGCCCAAGGGAATGCCATGGAAAGACTCCTCACCCTGAAATGGCCCGTGATTTTGTGTTGGCAGTTTGACTCCTCAGTAGCAAAGGGGGAGATTTAGGATTGTTTTAAAAGTAGGTTTTGATGGTACTTGCATATTTTAAACATTTGTCACATGTCACCTACCCATTTATCTCACAACTACAGAGATGTGAAAGGAGCTTACAAACCTGCAACTCATGGAATGGTAATATTCACTGGGATATTCACCAAAGCTTTTTGTCCTCTTTAAAGAAATCAGTTCCTGTGTTTCCCAGAAAGACGTTGCTTATTCTCACATGGAAGTACTGTAATAGCTGAACTCCCCCGCATCAACAGTCCCCATGGTTATAAACAGCCCTGGCTGCTGGAGAGGTGTCTGCAGGTTGGACCACAGCCTGCAAATGACAGTGGGATCTCCCAAGCATCACTGCACCCAGGTGTGGGACCAGTTGCCTACCTGCCCAAGGGGCTCCCTCATGTGCGGCAGATGCTCGGAGAACTGCGAGACTGCTAACACCAGTGAGTCTGGCTTTTCCTTTGCCAAAATCCAGTCTTTGCTCAGGATTTTTTTCAGGAATGGCTGAAAAAGGACCAATTCACTTAAGGCACCAGTAATATTCAGACTAGATGATGCACTAGCCTAAGGCACCCAGCTGTATGCCTTCTTAGGGGCTTGAACCAAAGAGCAAGGAGCACCGATGGCACACGCACTCTGCATGAAGACACACAAGGAGTTAGGCATCAGGAGCACAGAGCAGGCTGGGTTTCTCTCTCCACCCCAGGGAATTCTGACTCATGTCTTCCCTTACTTGCTATGTGCCCCAGTGCAGTCAGGAGCAGAATCACTCCCCAAAGCAGGACATGCTTTGGCATTAAAGGCTTGCTTGGGACACCTCATTTCTTTGCTCTGTGCCACCTTCTAACACACCAGCTATGTTTCTTTAGGTAAATAGATTTCTATTCTTACTGTATGCATGAAGAAACAGATGTGAATGTTAATTTGTGAATGTTAATCAGAGGAAAGCGAGGCATGGCTAGAACAGGCTGTGGCGTGTAACCATGTATGCTAGTGTTACATAGGTTTGCACCAGCTATGGACATGACAAGTCATAATCCATGACCTCTCCAGCCTTCTCCACAAGTAAATCAAGCTCCTCTTGCTCACAGCAGCTGCAGGTGGCTGTCCGTACTCCCTGCAGACCCATGTGTCAGCATAGTTTCACTGAGATTTTCCTTGTGCTCATTGTTCTGATGTGGTGGTGGTGGGAATACCATCTGGGAGCATCCCCAACTTGATGTCTTGTGGCCAGTGATCATGTGGGATTGATGGCACCGTTTCTCGTCTATCCTGGGTACAGGTGCTCTGACCAAGTGTCCCCAGTGGGCTATTTCCCTTGCCAGGTCCTAGAGCTAAAGTGCCTCCACACAGAAACACAGTAATATCTGCTAAAGGCTTCTGGTAGCACTTGGAAGAGACTTCCCTATGGGCCAAATTCAAAATATCCTTTCTCTGACACATTCCCTTTGTACTTTTGTCCTCTTAGCTCCCAGGAACTCTGTCTTTAGACTCCTGTCAATCTCCTTCCCAATTATTTCCCCTGCTTGTGCCCTCCTGCTGTGCCACCAGCCTGTCAAAGAGCTATTTAGAAATGCTTTGCCCTGGCTGCCCTCAGTTCTCACGGCATTTCGGCTCTCTTGCTCAATGCCTTGGCTGGACTCCTTCCTCGCCTGGCTCTTAGGCTCTCAGAGAAGCTCTGCAGTCACTGGAAAGTCCCGTTGGAGAGGCAGGCTTGGCTTAGATTGGAACAATTGCGTGACTGTCCTGGTTCCTGAAAATTATGGTTGATGATTTAGAAAGTGAATTAGGATGAGTATAAAGGGACCAAAGTCTTCATTTCTCCCATCTCTTGTGTTGTAGCAGCTAGGGCCAGTGGACCCCCAGATGGCTGAGAGCAGAAAGTCTCATCCACAGCACCTGGGAAACAAAAGCTGCATTGCAGCATGTTGCCTTTTAGACCTCTCACACACGTTAAGCTGCTATCAGAGCTTTATCAGCTGATACCAGAGGGTTAGCATCCTCACGCTTAAAGAATCATTCTTTCTTTACCATGGAAACAGCCAGGAAAAATAACTTCTACCAGAATGAATTCTATCCTGTCTGAAAAGTTTGGTAGCAGACCATGATGGCAGATCTACAAATAAGTAAGAGTAAACTGAGGTCCAGAAAAAATCTGGTCTTTTGATAGGAGGAAAAAATTCCCATTGGTGGTATCCAGCTGACTTCCCTGGTGCTTCACTATGGATAAGGTTTCCCTCTGCTGCTTTGAAGTGCTGGAAGCCACTAAATACCGTTTTCTTTTGGTTGCCTGTACTAAATTAATCAGCTGAACAAACGTATCATTGCTCATAGTGAAATCTCCCAGGATGAAGGAAATGTCACTTCAGGCTAAGAGGGATTTCTACAAATATTAGGCACGACACATTTTGGAGGGACCATAATGTGTAACATCAGGTGCTGCAAATCGAGGTCTAGCTGGTGATACAAGGGAAGGGCAATGGCCTTCAGCT